CTTCCCAATTTGTATCCCCTTGATCCCCATTTGTTGTCATATGGCAATAGCTAGAACTTCAAGTACCATGTTGAAAAGGTATGGAGAGAGTGGACAGCCTTGTTTTGTTCCTGATTTTAGAGGATTGCATTGAGTTTCTGTCCCTTTAGGTTGATGTTGGCTGTTGGTTTACTGTATATAGCTTTTATTATGTTTAAGTATGTCCCTGTTATCCCAGATCTCTCCAAGACCTTTATCATGAAGGGGTGTTGGATTTTGTCAAAGGCTTTTTCAGCATCTAGTGAGATGATCATGTGATTTTTGTTTTTCAGCTTGTTTATATGGTGGATTACGTTGATGGATTTTCATATGTTGAACCATTCCTGCATCCCTGGGATGAAGCCTCCTTGATCATGGTGAATGATTGTTTTGATGTGTTCTTGGATCTGATTTGCGAGTATTTTTTTGAGTATTTTTGCATCAATGTTCATGAGGGATATTGGTCTAAAGTTCTCTTTCTTAGTTGTGTCTTTGTGTGGCTTGGTATCAATGTTATTGAAGCCTCGTTAAAAGAGTTTGGCAAAGACCCTTCTGGTTCTACTGCATGGAATACTTTGAGGAGAATTGCTATAAGCTGTACTTTGAATTTCTGGTAGAATTCTGCACTGAAGATATCTGGCCCTGGGCTTTTTTTTTTTGTTGGGAGATTTTGATGACTGCTTCTATTTCCTTAGGTGTTATAAGTCTATTGAAATTGCTTATCTGTTCTTGATTGATTTTTGGCAAGTGATAGCTATCCAGGAAGCCGTCTATTTTCTTTAAATTTTCAAATTTTGTGGAGTACAGGTTTTCAAAGTATGACCTGATGATTCTTTGGATTTCCTCAGTGTCTGTTATTTTGTCCCCCTTCTCATTTATGATTTTGTTAATTTGCATGTTCACATTCTGCCATTTGGTGAGTTTGGATAGAGTTTGTCTATGTTGTTGATTTTCTCAATGAACCAACTCTTTGTTACATTGATTCTTTGTATTGTTTTCCTAGTTTATGCTTTATTGATTTCAGCCCTCAGTTTGATTATTTCCTGGCGTCTACTCCTCCTGGGTGAGTTTGCTTCTTTGTGTTCTAGAGCTAGTGTAACTATTCTTCATCTGGGCACTTAGTGCTATGAACTTTCCTCTTGGCAATGCTTTCAAAGTGTCTCATAGGTTTGGGTATTTTGTGTGTTCATTGTCATTGAATTCTAGGAAGTCTTTAATTTCTTTTTTTATTTCTTCTTTGACCTAGGCATGGTGCAATAGCGCATTATTTAATTTTCATGAGTATAGGGTTCCTGCAGTTTGTGTTGTTGTTGTACTCTAACTTTAAAGCATGATGATCTCATAAGATACATGGAGTTATTCCAACTATTTTGTACCTGTTGAGGCTTGCTATGTTGCCAATTATGTGGTCAATTTTTTAGAAGGTTCCATGTGGCGCTGAGAAGAAGGTATATTCTTTTATGTTTGGATGGAATGTTCTATAGATGTCTGTCAAACCCAATTGGGTCATAATCTCTATTAGTTCCTTTGTTTCATTGTTAAGTTTCTGTCTTGTAGTCCTGTCTAGTGGTGAGAGTGGGGTGTTGATGTCTCCCACTATTAGTGTGTGAGGTTTTATGTGTGGTTTGAGTTTTAGTAATGTTTCTTTTATGAATGTGGATGCCTTTGTATTTGGGGCATAGATGTTCAGAATCAAGACTTCATCTTGGTGGATTTTTCCTGTCATGAATGTGAAATGACCACCTTCATCTCTTTTGATTGATTTCAAATTAAAGTCTAGTTCATTAAATATTAGGATTGCTACCCCTGCTTGTTTCTTGGAGCCATTTGATTGGAAAATCTTTTCCCAACCTTTAACTAACAGGAAATGTCTGTCTTTGAGGCTGAAGTGTGTTTCTTGTATGCAGCAGAAGGATGGGTTCTGTCTTCGAATCCATTCTGTTAACCTGTGTCTCTTTATGGCTGAGTTAAGACCATTAATATTGATGGATATTAGTGACCATTGATTGCTAATTGTTTGTTTTGCAATAGTTGATGGTTGTGGAGTTATATGTGGATTTACACCTCTTTTCTTTTGGCTGCTGGTAAAGTGGGATTATCTATTGGCTATGTTTTTCTGGTTGTAGTTAACTCCCTTGATTTGGGGTTTTCCTTCCAGAACTGTCTATAGGGCTGGGTTAGTGAATATGTATTGTTTAAATCTGGTTTGTCATGGATATCTTGTTTTCTCCATCTATAGTGACTGAAAGCTTTGCTGGGTATAGTAGTCTGGGCTGGCATCTGTGGTCTCTTAGTGTTGATAGAATTATCTATCCAGAACCTTCTGGCTTTCAGAGTTTCCATGGAGAAGTCAGGTGTAATTCTTATAGGTTTACCTTTATATGTTATTTGGCCTTTTTCCTTAGCTGCTCTAAGTATTCTTTATTTTGTACACTTGGGGTCTTGATTATTATGTGGTGAGGGGACTTTTATTGTGATTCACTCCATTTGGTGTTCTGTAAGCTTCTTGTACCTTCATTGGCACGTCTTTCTTTAGGTTGGGAAAGTTTTCTTCTATGATTTTTTGAGTATGTTTTTTGTCCCTTGAGTTGGGTTTCTCACCTTGTTCTATACCTATTATTCGTAGGTTTGTTCTTTTCACAGTGTCCCATATTTCCTGGATATTTTGTGTTAGGGATTTGTTGGACTTGAGATTTTCTTTGATTGATGAATCTATTTCTCCTAGTGAGTCTTCAACACCTGAGATTCTCTCTTCCATCACTTTTATTCTGTTGGTTATGCTTGCGTCTCTAGTACCTGTCCATTTCTCCAGTTTTTCAATTTACAGCATTCATTCAGCCTGTGGGTTTTTTTTATTGTCTCCATGTCAGTTTTCAATGCTTGCATTGTTTGAATTGTTTCTTGTAATTTTTCTCCTCTATTTTTTGGAATTTTTGTTTATTGTTTCTTCCATTTCTTTAAGTGATTTTTCTCACATCCTCTTTGAGGGCCTCTATTATTTTCATGAAGGGTCATTCCCTTCTGCTTCATCCTCATTGGGGTGTTCAGTTCTTACTGGTGTAGAATCTCTAGACTCTGGTGGTGTCATATTTGTTTTTCTGTTGCTAGGTGTGTTCGTATATTGCCTTTTCCCCATCACTTCTTCCAGTTGGTGTAGAAAGAGTCTCTTCCTCTTCTGGTGGGTAGCCGACCAGGGTTCCCTTTCAGTGGGTGCAAGCAAATCCAATACTCTCTGGTCTCTGGTCTCTGCCCTCTGCCCTGGGTTTGGGTGGAAGTGGCACTGCTCTCTCTGCAGGCTCCTGGTCGCTTGGTCATCCTTCCGGGCTGAAACTGTCTTTTATATATCTTAAGTCATTTTTTTTCCGAGACAGGGTTTCTCTGTATTGTTTTGGAGGCTGTCCTGGAACTCGCTCTGTAGACCAGGCTGGCCTGGAACTCATAGAGATCTGCCTGCCTCTGCCTCCTGAGTGCTGGGATTAAAGGCATGTGCCACCAATGCCCAGTTCTTCCTAATCATTTACAAGGATGATTACTGAGGGCAGTTTTTGTAGAGTGAATTTTTTAAAAATAAGGAATAATTCGAAAAAAAATCTGTGTTGTGGGTTTACCTCTTTCTGCGTTTGGTAACATGGCAAACGAAAAGACATGGGTGCTTGTTGTTGTTAAAGGTACTTATTATGAAAATTGTATGTAATAAAACATTTTATGATGTTTTATAGTCATAAAAATACTAAATATATGCACATGCTGTTTTCTAATAAATATTTACTATTTTTGTAAGCTAAAGGTAAATTTTTGATTTTTTAAAAAAACGTTTAAGATCTCTCAAAAAAAATGAGGTACCCTTTTTTTATTTAAGAGGTAAAAAACTTAGGGCACATCTATAATCCACACAAGGTAAAAGCAAGCTGTAATACTGTAGATTATTTAGTATTTAATATCTGGGATTTATTTATGAATGTTGTTCTCAGGACAAGACAGGAATTATCATACAAAAATTCATCCTAATATAAAGTATTTTGAAGTCTTATTGCTGTCTCCTTGGAAGGCCCATTTCACATAATCAAATTTAGTTGTATGGGGGATGAAATCCCATGCCATCTGTCTTCTCCAACCCTAACAAATATGTAGACATGACAGTCAGCCACATGCTGCTCATAGGACATGAGATTATGTCACATGGTCAATTAGAGATTATCTGTGTATAGATTTCTATTTTACTAGTTTTAACTTTTTTTCTTTTACAGATTTTTAACCAAATCCAGTAAAAACGAACTTATAAATCTTGAGGTACAGATTTATAAGTGTAATTTTTCAGCTGTTCTGTTTTACTCTCTGAGTCAGGAGCTCAGCCTAACACAAGACATAGAGCTGCTTTTCAACAAGCTTGAATCTAAAGAAGGGGAATGCCGACTTCCACTCTACAAACGGCCTTTTACTAGAACGCCCAAAACGTCTTTAATGTTATCTGCATCTAAAGGATATATACATTCTTGTTAACCGGAATCTACTGGCTAGAGGGTTCAGGGTTACAGATTTAGGTCCGGCCATAAGGTGCACCACGTAAGACACAATAAGGGTGAAAAAGAAAAAAAGAAACAGCATGGTTTTTTTTTTTTGTCTCCAAAATATTGTAATTTTTTTTTTAAGATACAGAGAAAAGGTCTTTGGTGGGTTTTTAAGGTTTTGTAGACAGGATTGTAGTTTCTGGTAGAGGATGGGAGGGAGGCTTGTGTCCAGGGGCAGCTGGTGCACGGAGGGTTGTGTGCCCAGGCTGGCGGAAGAGAGACAGAGAGAGAGGGAGGGAGGGAGGGAGGGAAGGAGGGAGGGAGGGAGGGAGGGACGGACGGACGGACGGACAGACAGACAGACAGACAGACAGACAGACAGACAGACAGACAGACAGAGAGCGCTCTCCGCTCTCCGGTGTATGGTCCTCTGGCTCCTGCAGCCTTGCTACACCCCTCCACCCCCGTGCAAGTCCCCTCTCCTGATCTGTCTCTGTCTCTGTCTCTGTCTCTCTCTCTCACACACACACACGCACACACACGTCGTAACTACGCAGGGACAAGGACTTTACGTGCTTCAGGGAGCGAGAGAGAGCCGACTGAAAGGGACGGGCTGGTCTCGGAGCGAATAGAAAAGACGGAAGAGCCCCGAGTCCTCTCTCGCTTCCCGATCGCTCAGTTTGCGGCGCGGCAGCCGGTGCTGACGACTCGAGCCCCTCCTAGTGGCGTAGCAGCGGCGGCGGGGACCCGGGCAATCGGCGGTCAGGACGCTGGACACGGGGTCAGCTCCGCCACGGCTCACCGCGGGCTGGCAGAGACGAGGGAACCGGAAGTGGAGCGCGGTGGGCGGGGCCGGGAGGAGCCGTCTCCAAGGAACCAGGCAGAAGCGACCGGAAGTCCCCCCATTCCCCGTGGGACTCGGCGAGCGGTGCGCTGCAGACCCGGGTGCGGGGGACGCGGCGGGCGCCGCCGGGACCTGGAGACTCCGGAGCCGCAGTGTCCGCGCGGGGCGGGCGGCCTGGGAAAGTCAGCGTCCCTGCAGCGCAGTGGCGGGAACCGCAGCCCGGCGGCCCTGGAACCTCCCAGGTCAGAGGAGCCGCGGGGCTGGGACCCGGGAGGGAGGGGACAGGGTGCGAGCGGTTTCTCTGCTCTTCATGGGGAAGCCGGCTCCCTAATTCTGCTGTGGGTGTCTTTCTTTGTCAATAGATTTTAGATCGTATGAACTGGAGGGGGTTGGTCGTGATTTTCTCTGTTGTCTTCCGTCTGCCAGAATATATTCATGAAATACCCTCTTAGAGCGTCTGTCGTTTCCAGACGGGTTCTCTTTGATGCTGTGGAGTTTACAGATTCAACCGTACTTCTCTTAACTCTCCTAGTCCACTGTTTTTTCTATTCACAAGGGTGGCCCTTGGCTCGAGGGATAGGCGCCCCCAGAGAGCTTTTTAGAGATTAGTGGTTTGGGTAACCTCTGTAGTTTTGATTGGATCAGAACCGCAGTTGTGGCTGTGAATATGAACATTCACTGAGCAAAGTTTTACTCTCTGTTAATTTCCCATCTGAGATGGGTGTAAACAGAGAATTAAAAAATGTGTATTTATTACATGCTTAGTTGTTGGTTTTACCCCTTAGATCCGAATGAAAAATGACATGAGCGCTCCAAGGTATGATTGAGAAGGTTTTTTTTGTAGGTATGAGGGAGAAAATAGCCAGAGGCATCTGGAAGGGTCCAGAATGACCTGACCTATGAAAGGGGAGAGAGTTGGGGGGGGGGAGAATGGAGGAGAAGACAGGAGAGAGTTGGAGGGCAAAGAATGAACCTGGAGCCCAGAGGCCAAGAGAGCACCCAGTGAAAGAGTCCGCTTTGATATGTTAATGTACTCCTCAGTCTTTTGCCAAGAAGTTTTTGATACCTTACAAGGCTCAAGCAAGTGGCGTGTGTCGGGGACCTCCGCTTTATTCATTATTTATTGTAGAAATACCGCCTTTTTTTTTTTTTTCGAGACAGGGTTTCTCTGTATTGTTTTGGAGGCCGGCTGTCCAGCCCAGCCTCGAACTCACAGAGATCCGCCTGCCTCTGCCTCCCGAGTGCTGGGATTAAAGGCGTGTGTCACCACCGCCCGGCAAATACCGCCTCTTAAGATAGGAATCAAGTTCTGAGAAACAGGCTCAGTTAAAGACTAAGCCTAGTGAAAATTACCAAGTCACTCATGAGTAGGCTTCAGCAATAGAGGGTAGATCGTGAAAGATAAAATTGAAACCTGCAGTTAGGCTACCAGGTGACACAGGATGGCCTACCCCTGCCGCTGACCTTTGCCCCTCCAGCCTCCTCACAGCTGCCTCCTCACAGCTGCAGTCGACACCCCTACTCCCTCCTCTCCTCACTTCCCGCCTATGCCTATGACCCTACATAAACCCCTTTAGAATGAATCAAGCCTATCAGCCTGATCAGCAATGTTGACTTGCTGTTTGTTTCTTGTCCCCCCGTGTCCCCCCATTTTCCCCTAGGCGTCCCTGGTCTTATACTGACTGTCCCTGCAGGGGTGGTGGTGCCCTCCTTTAATCCCAGCACTTCAGAGGCAGAGGTAGGGTCATTTCTGAGTTTGAGGCCAGCCTGGTCTACAGAGAGGATTACAAGACAGGCTCCAAAGCAACACAGACTAACCCTGTCTTGAGAAACTAAAGAAGAAAAGAAAACCAAGGGGAAAATAGCAAGAAAAAAAAAAACCCAACATGTCCAGGTAAGCCCAGTATAATTGCTCAGAGATGTTATCAGACCACACTAATCTTATACATAGAAAACTATGCATAGATTAAACAAAATTAGAAAGTCCCTTTTGAATAATTATAATTACATAACTATATCAGAAAAATGTCTCCTTGGTTCCAGAAATGTACTCTGCCAGCTTGCTTGGGGCCAAACAATTGTTTTTTGTGTCAGGGTTTGGTGACATTCAGTGCTGTGATTTTGGACTTCTTGTAGGAGGAGTAGGAATGACTATACCCCGCTGTCAGGGTTTTTTTTGCAGAGATCTCTTAGAGAAGTGCAACAGTCTGCATTCTGAGAGTCAGAATAATTTTGTTGCAGACTCCCTTTCTCCCCGTCAGGGTTCCTAGACAGCCTACTCTGCATGTGTGTGAGCTATGTGTGAATGAAGATTCACATGTCATAGAGCAAAGTGAAATCCTCAGAGAGAAAGAGACATTTTTGTAATAGTTTCTCTTTTCAAGTTTATCCTGCTGGCTGTGGTGGTGCATGCCTTTAATCCCAGCACTCTGGAAGCAGAGTCAGAGGCGGGAGGATTTCTGTGAGCTCAAGGCCAGCCTCCAAAACAATGCAGAGAAACTGACTCGAAAAAGCAAAAAAAAAAAAAAAAAAAAAGGTTTGTCCTTTTGGCAGGTATTGTCTTGCTTTTTGGAACACATGTAGAATTCCAGGTGCTTTCTGGAGAATCTCTTTCCCATGTGCAAGACACACACTGTCCGTCAGTCCTGCTCACATATGAAGCAGAACCAAGAGCCCTGGATGGAGAAGAGAGGCTTGACAGTAGCAAAGGATCCAGGGATGCTAGAAGGATTGAGGAAGGGGTGCAGCATGGGGAAGGGCGTAAGTGACAGGAGAAACACGACATGCAATGGTTTTGCTACATTCTATCTCATTACATGATTCTAGAGAATTCTGCTGAGACTAGTATTAGATGTGGTACTGTGAATTTCCAATTATTGACTGTATAGTGAGCATCAATTGTTCTCAGTGTTTGATCAGTTATGAGTCTCTGAAATAACTGTTGCCCATTTGTAAACAAGTTTCTTTGACCTGGGCTTAATGCCGCATCTGGCCGTGGGTGTGAACAGAGCCGTTTAAAGGCATTTGAATGTTTGCACACGTAGCACAATGTCAGTAGTGGATTCTGCCTAAGGCTTGTGTGCTTCCTCATCACTCGCTTTGTCCTGGTTCCCAGTACTGTCCATGTGTTTCTTGTGTGAAGCTGGCCTCAGACTGTACCAGAGAGCCTCCCGTTACCCACAAAATAATCTTGCCACCATGACATCAATGGGCACACCTTGCCTGGCAAATTGAGATTGTAGCAGGTAGCATCTATGTTTGTGTATGGCCACACTCTGCCGCCTGTACCACACTGCATAGCAGCGCTTGACAAAAATGAATTCTACCAGCCTGGGGTTTATGGCACACACCTTTAATCCCAGCACTAGGCAGGAAGAGGCAGGTGGATCTCAAGTAGAGGCCCCCCTGGTCTACACAGTGAGTTCCAGGACAGCCAAGGCTACACAGAGAAACCCTGTCTCAACAAACAATAACAAAGGAGAATGCTATCACTGGGGAGTCAATTTTAGATACTATTAGTGGTCTGTTGACGTCTCAGTGTACTTGTGGTTTTTCGAGACAGGGTTTCTCTGTGTAGCTTTGGAACCTCGAACTCAAGTAGATCTGCCTGCCTCTGCCTCCCTAGTGCTGAGCTTAAATGTGTGCGCCACCACCACCCAACCTTAGCACCTCGCTTCTCCCTCCCTCCCTCCCTCCCTCCCTCCCTCCCTCCCTGCCTCCCTCCCTCCCTCCCTCCCTCCCTGCCTCCCTCCCTCCCTCCCTCCCTCAGCATGACTGTAGACTGAATGTACTGCACTCCTGTCTCCTCCCACTTTATATTCTCTGTGCTGCTGGGATTATAGGCACACACCACCACAACCCAGCTTCTATGGCTAACTAGTGGGGCTCCCTGGCTTGCATGACTGGCTAGTGTGGCTAGCTTTGCACTCTGATCTTCAGGTAAGCTTTGTTAGATCATAAACAAAACATCCCCACAAATGACTCCTTGAGATGCAGTTATATTCATTTTTCTTATTCCTTACGGTTAGGGGATGGCACAGCCCATGGTGGGTGGTGCCATCCATGGAACCATCCTGGGTTCTTTTAGAAGGTGGGTTGAGTAATCCATGGGAAGGAAGCCATGGATGAACAGCAAAGCTGAAGCCAAATAAGCCTTTTCCTCCCCTACTTGCTTTTTGGTCATGGTGTTTCTTTCGTCACAGCAATACAAATGCTAACTAAGACACTTGTCCTTCATCATATCACCCCTGCCAATCATCCAATACTTACTATTTTCTCTATTTCTAACTTTATTGAGAACTCTTGTTCCCATCCCAAGATCCTCTGATTACAGTCCTGAATGATAACCACCTGTGCACTGAAAAATAAAGTACGGGCTCTGTACACTGGCGAAAACATCAAGGAAATTGATTTTTCATTAGACATTCAATCAGTATGATTTTCACTGATGTTGCTTTTATTAATTGAGATCATGATTGTCATTTTTTATATGGGAAATGAAATTGTAGAGGGATGCTCTCTATTTTCTTTACCCGTGTGTCTTTTCATGGGCACATAGGATGTTTTTATTCTTCAACTCTGGTGAATAGTTCACCATTAGTCCTCGATATGGGAGTTGTTTGTGCGGGGAATTGGCACCTCTGGCTAAGGATTCAGTTTTCCTGTATTGGGTAGTATTATGGGTTAATGTTTGAAACTTCCAAAATGAATTCTCTCTTTTGCCCCAGTTGACATTTCCAACTGGGGATTAATGTGGATACCACTTTTCTATTCTCTCACCTGCATTTAGTGTAATCCATTTCCTTTTTCTTTTCTTTACCCTATATGAAATAGGGTATGGGTTTTTTTTTTTTTTTAACTATTTGCTCTATGGGGGTCTGCCACTCAGTTCCCAAATAACTACACAGATACTTATTCTTAACGGGACTTACAGCTTTTCTTAAATTATCCCATCTACGTTTTGCCTCTGGACTTCTACCTTCTCTATTCTATGTTCTTTCTTTCCTTCTTACTTCCTGGTTGGTTGTATAGCTGGTGGTCCTCGTCCTCCTTCTGCTTTCTCTCTCTCTTTCATTTATTCTCTCTGCCTACCAGCCCTGACTATTTCTCTCTCCTGCCTAGCTATCGGCCATTCAGCTCTTTATTATACCCATCAGGTGCTTCAGACAGGCAAAGTAACAGAGCTTTACAGAGTTAAAGAACTGCAACATAAACGAATGCAACTCATCTTCGCATAATAAAACAAACATTCCACAGCATAGACAAATGTAGCATATCTTAAAATACTATTCCACAACAGTAGGGCCTCACTATGTAGTTCTAACTGGCATACAACTTACTATGTAGTCTAGACTCAAATGGAGTTACAGATGCACCTGCCTCTAGCTCTGCCTCTGATGAGGTGGGATTTAAAATACTCCCACCATGCCACGCTCCTCTATTAGTTTTCTTAATGTCAGCCATTTGACCAGAGTGAGGAGCACTGAGTGTTGGTTTTGCATTTGTAATTTCATGACTAAGAATGGTGAGCACATTCCAAACATATTTTCTCTGCTCAGAGGTTGTTCAGTAGGTAAGACCACTTGTTGCTCTTGTACAGGACACTGCCTCTTAGTTTGTACATGATGGCTCCTAGTTGTTTGTTGCTTTGTGTCTGGAGGATTGGGTTCTCTTCTGTCTCCCCTGTTGGCCTGGTCACTCATACGGTACACATCCATCACATGTGGATCTAACATGCATACAAATGAAATAAAAATGTCTTTAAAAAGTTAAAGTGTTTATACGTATGGATGGTTTGAGTTTTTTGTGTGTCTGTGTGATGTGATTTGTGTCCTTGATACTCCCAGGAATACTCTTTTTTAGGTTTAATTTTGATAATTTTTCTGTGTCTATGTGACTGTTTCCATGCCTACTTTTGTGGAAAATGTCAGTACTTTGCAGATGGGGATTGTGTAGAATTTTTGGTTGCTGTTACCATTTCAACCATGCTATTTATCAGAGTGTGTGTAAGTCCCTTTCCTTATGTACTATTGTTTTTTCTTTTGCTTTAAAAATTCCCTCATGGAATTCACTTCATCATTCTTTAGACTTATTATGTCTTTTTGAAGATTTTAAATTTTGAATTTAGTTTTCAAGTTCTTGTTAAAGATTTATAGGAAAATTAGTTATTTAAAGTTTCAGTTTTGCATTTTTCAGTAATAATAATAATAATTCAAACACTCATCAAATCTTAAGTTTTCCCATTGTATCTGTGGAGACTTTTGTGTGTGGCCACACCATCATTAAAAATGAGTTTGAAGCCTAGCTTTCCTCCTCCATCTCCTTTTTATCCTTTGTCTTGTTCAGGTTTGCCAACCTCACTCTCATGGCTGTTGATTAAGACTGGAGAACACATGTCTTCTCCTTATGCTTTTCTTGCTAATGCTATTCTTTTGTTTTCTCCACTGTCCTGTTGGTCTAGGCGTGCCATATGTGTCTGTTACTGTATTGAGCCAAGGTCCATTTCTTCTGCAGTCCTTTAGGAATTTATCAAAAGCTTAGTATCTTATTCAACTTTTTTCCTTGGGTAATTACTCTCTGATTTTTCTATGTATAGTTTCCCTCCAGTTATAAATTTCAGTGCTGCTTGAGTGGATGACCTGTGTTATTTTATAACTTTCTTCCAATGCACTTCTTTCTTGGTGTATTTTAAGAGCCAGTGTTTCTAGGTGCAGTGATAAGATTCATAGTTACTTTCTTTTCCACTCCAAATATATCCTTCCATGCTCTCCTGTCTATAGAAATGTTGACAGTACCTCTGGTATCCTTTGGAGTTTTGGATTTTCCTATGTAGTTTTCCAATGTGTGTAACAGAGTTGCATTTATTTTAACATTTCAGTTTTGACACCTTGTTGTGAAATGTCAAGAAGAGCTCCAGTCTTTGTTCCTGAGACAAAAACATAGAGAAGAGCAACGGGAAAAATGTCTGCTTCTCGGAAAAATGCTCCCCAGGCAAGTGTCGTGTTCCCTTTTCCTTGAAATTACTATTTTTTAATTGAAACCATTCAAGTCTTAAACTTTTTTGCCTCTGGTAATGTTGGCTAAAATGTGTCTTGCCTGTGCCTTTTTTTCCCTTTTTCTCTGATAGTCACGAGTAAGCCTTTAAATCTTGTCACATCCATAGCACAGCTTTATCCCAGTTTATCTTCCCTTAGTTGTTGCTATGGACTGTGTGTTTTTCATGGAGTAAAGACTTGTAACCCTGAGACTTCATTGTCAGTGGTGATCAAAACTGTACAACTTATTATATATGTATTTTTTAAATTTCATTTTATATTCTAACCACAGTTCCCCCCATCCTCCATCCCAGCCCATCCCCATCTACTCCTCCATAGGGTAAGGCCTTCTACAGGGAGTCAACAAACCCTGGAACATTAAGTTAAGGTAGGACCAAGCCGCTCCCCTTGCTTTAAGGCTGAGCATGGAATCCCACCATAGGAAATGGGCTCCAAAAAGCTAGCTCATGTACTAGCAAAGATCCTGGTTCCACTGCCAGGGGCCCCTCAGAAAGATCAGGCTATACAATTGTCTCCCACATTGCAGAAGGCCCCGTTTGGTCCCTTGGAGGCTCCACAGCTGTTGGTCTAGAGTTCATGAGTTTTCATGAGCTTGGTTCAGCTGTCTCTGTAGATTCCTCCGTCATGATGTTGACCTTGCTTGCTCATAGATTCCCTCCTCCCTTTCTTCAACTGGATTTTTGTAGTGTGGCCTTGTGCTTGGTTGTGGATCTCTGCGTCTTGTTCCGTCAGTTACTGGATGAAGGTTCTATGATGATGGTTGGGGTATCCACCAATCTGATTACAGGGGAAGGCCAGTTCAGGCATTCTCTGCGCTATTGCTAGGAGTCTTAGCTGGGGTCATCCTTGTGGATTCCTGGGAATTTCCCTACCGGTTTCTCCCTAACCCCTAATGCCTCCTTCTATTAAGATATCTCTTTCATTACTCTCCCACTACCTCCCTCAACTTGACCATCCCACTCCCTCATGTTCTCTTCCTCCATTCCCTCTCCTCTACCATACCCACTAACCCCCAGTTTACCCAGGAGATCTTATCTAATTTCCCTTCCTAGGGCGATCTGTGTATCAGTCTTAGCGTTGTCTTTATTACCTAGTGTTTCTGGAGCTGTGGATTGTAGTCTAGTTACCCTTTGTTTTACATCTAGTATCTACTTATGAGTGAGTATATATTGTGTTTGTGTTTCTAGTCGGGATTACCTTGATCGGGATGGTTTTTTTTTCTTAGATCCATCCATTTGCCTGAAACTTTCATGATGATTGTTTCTTACAGCTGAGTAATAATCCATTGTGTAAAATCTACTACATTTTCCTTATCCATTCTTTTGTTGAGGGGCATCTAGGTTGTTTCCAGGTTCTGACTATTGCAAATAAAGCTGCTATGAACATTGTTGAGCAAGTGTCCTTGTGGTTTGATTGAACATCTTTTGGCCATATGCCCAAGAGTGGTATCACTGGGTCTTTAGGTAGATTGATTACCAATTTTCTGAGAAACCGCCATACTGATTTCCAAAGTGGCTATACAAAGTTTGTATTCCTACCAGCACACACATTACTTCACATCCTCTTGAACATCAGCTGTTCTCAGTATTCTTGATCTTAGCCATTCTGATAGATGTAAGGTGGTATCTCAGAGTCATTTTGATTTGCATTTCCCTGATGATTAAGGATTTTGAGCAATTCCTTAAATGTCTTTGGGTCATTTGAGATTCTTCTGATGGAAATTCTGTTTAGCTCTGTACCCCATTTTTAAATTCGGTAAATTTATATTTTGATGTCCAGTTTCTTGAGTTATTTATATATTTGGGAGATCAGCCTTGTGTCAGATGTGGGGTTGGGGAATTTTGTTTCCCATTCTGTAGGCTGTTGTTCTGTCTTATTGACCATGTCCTTTGCCTTACAGAAGCTTCTCAGTTTCAGGAGGTTCCATTTTATTGATTCTTGCTTTCAGTGTCTGTGCTATTGGTATTATATTTAGGGAGTGGTCTCCTGTGCCAATGTGTTAAAGGCTATTTCTTATTTTCTCTTCAGTATAACTGCATTTATGTTGAGGTATTTGATCTACTTGGACTTTGGTTTTGTGCATGCCGATAGATATGAATCTATTTAAAATCTCCCACATGTTGACATCCAGTTATGCCAGCACCATTTATGGAAGATGCTTCTATTTCCTTAGGGGTTTTAAGTCTCTTTAAATTGTTTATATGGTCTTGATTTAATTTTATTTTGTGGTATGTACCCAGGAAATTGTTTATTTCTTTCAAATTTTCTAATTTTGTTTAGTACAAGTTTTTGAAGTATGGCCTGATGACTCTCTGGATTTCCTCAGTGTCTGTTGTTATACCCCCCTTTTCATTTCTGATTTTGTTAATTTGGATATTCTCTCTCTGCCTGTTGGTTAGTTAGAATAAGAGTTTGTCTATCGTGTTGAACTTCCTGAAGAACCAACTCTTTGTTTCTATTTTATTAATTTCAGACCTCACTTTGATTATTTCCTGGCATCCACTCCTCCTTGGTGAGTTAATTTGTTTTTGTTGTAGAGCTTTTAGGTGTTTTGTTAATTCGCTAGTGTGAGGCTTCTCCATCTTCTTTATGTAGGCATTTAGTGGAATGAACTTTCCTCTTAGTACTGCTTTTATAGTTTTCCTATAAGTTTGGGTATGTTGTACATTCATATTCATTGAATTCTTGTTAGTCTTTAATTTATTTATTTCTTCCTTCACCCAGTGGTGATTCAGTTAAGCATTTTTCAGTTTCCATGGGCTTGTAGGCTTACTGGAATTTGTGCTATTGAATTCTAACGTTAAACCATGGTGATCCAAGAAGATATGAGGAGTTATTCTAAAATTTTTCTATCTGTTGAGATTTGCTGTGTTGAATGCATGGTTTAAATAAATCTGCCAGACCCAAGACAAAAGATAATTAGGTTTCGTTGGGAAGCACTTACACAGATAGGAGTAAATAACTGCTTCAGTCTCCTGCTCCAGAAGTGATGCTTTCATTGAAACCCAAGGGAAAGAGAAAGCCAGTTGAGGTTTGTTTCATGTATGCGACAGAAGAATGGATCCTGTTTTCCTATGTATTCTGTTAGCCTGTGTCTTTTTATAGGCGAATTGACTCCATTGATATTAAGGGATTAATGACCAGTAATTGTTAATTCTTGTTATTTTTGTTGATAGTGTAGGTGTGTGTTTCCCTTCTTAAGGATTTGCTGATGTGAGATTATCTATTGTTTGTGTTTTTGTCGGAGTTTTCCTTCTAGTTCTTTGAGTAGGGCTGACTTTGTTGATAGGTATTGTTTAAATCTTGTTTTGTCGTAGAAATTCTCTACTTATGGTCATTGAAAGTTTTGCTGGATATAGTAGTCTGGGTTAGCATCTGTGGTCTCTTAGTGTCTGCATAACATCTGTCCAGGACCTTCTGCCTTTCAGAGTCTTCATTGAGAAGTTGGGTGTTACTCTGTTTATTTTGTGTTTTAATTATTATGTGGTTAAAAGACTTTTTCTTTTGGTCTAGTCTACCAGTTTATTTGGTGTTTTGTAAACTTCTTGTATCTTCATAGGCGTTTTGTCTTTAAGCTGGGAAAGTTTTCTTGTATGATGCTGTTTAATATATTTTGTGTGCTTTTGAGGTGGTTCTCTTCTCCTTCTATCCCTATTATTCTTAGGTTTGGCCTTTTCATGCTGTCCCACATTTCCTGGAAGTTTTGTGTTATGACTTTGTTGGTTTTCTGAAGTTGTTATTATTTGCATTGGTTATACCAACTTATAGAAAGGTTTAGGTAGTATTAGTGCTATCTAATGGTGAGTTTTCTATTTATTTCATGGTCATCAAATTATTTTCATGAAATATCTAAGAATTTGATTGTATGTGTTGATTAGAACATTGGATAAATGCACTGTTATACTTCTTACTGTTTAAAGAAGAAAAACAGTTTTTTGATTCATCCATGAATTCTTAGTCCATATTCTGCCTCTGTTCCAGAAAGGAGAGGACCAGCTGCAGACAGGATTGATCCAGTGTCCATATTGGAGCAAGGCTGGCAGTTGTAGAATTTGGAAGCAGAGTTTCACTCACTATAATTTTACCATCTGAGCTATGTGCCTGGGATCCTGTTTGATAATAGAGTTCTTAAAAATACATTACTCCATCTCGACCTCAAATGTGTATCTGATATTTCCTAAAACTTTGCTGAGTGTAAGACTATTATGTCATACTATTTAGAAATCTTTTATTAAAGTTAAATGCTATTGTCATATTATGTGTGTGAGTATATTTGCCTGAATGGATGCTTGTGTGCTCTGAATGCTACTGTGTGTAGAGTTCAAAAGAGGCCATTGAATCCCATGGAACAAGGGTTAACATCTGTTTTGTAGTGCCATGAGGATACTAGGAACTGAACTTCATTTTAAAAGACATTACAGAGCCTGAACTGGGGAGAAGACTTAAAAATAGTGATTGTGACAAATTCTTTATCGCTGCTCAGGTCTTAGAAAACATCAGAAAATTAATGGAGGAGAGAGATCTTATGAATGTAAGCAACGTAGTAACTCCTTTTATGCATTGTCTCTGGAAAAGCAGCCAGTGCTTATCTTCTGACTTATCTCTGCAGCCCTTCTAGAAAACTTCTGTTCTTGAATAATTTCCATGCCATGTCTATATCATCATAAAAGTGTCTGTAATTCCTTAAGTCTCCTTTACCTACAAATGCATTTTGTCCAGCAGCACATGGTAAATAGGTAATTTTACATTACAGGATCTGTTAATATTCAAAGATGTGGCTGTGGACCTCTCACAAGAAGAATGGGAATGTCTGGACTGTGCTCAGAAAGAATTGTATATGGATGTGATGTTGGAGAATTACAACAATTTAGTCTTTGTTGGTAAGAATCATCTTGTAGAATTCCCGATTCATCCTTTGTAGGTGTCTTGTCTATGGACATGTATTGGTGGCCATACCCCTTTGGGTGTGGTTTCAGGTTGATGGAAGTGGAAAGAGAGCAGCTTGAAGCATGGCTTTCCTTGGTGCTCTTTTTCTGGTGTGTCAGCAGATCTGGTAGGAAGAGCAGGGAAACGCTCCAGAGGTTCTTTGTATTTTTTTGTGTAATTGTTCCACAATAAACACCCATTTATCATTTATCTTGGGTCTAGTGATATAATTACATCCTCGCCTTCAGTCCTTTGTATTTAACTTCTTTGTACATGTAAACTCTACTGTCTAGGGACTCCCAGAAATAGGGAAAGTTCTGGTTTTGAATATAACATGTTTATTGTGCTTCCTTTACATTTTTAATTTTCTCTGGAAGAATAACCAGTGCTATATTATTGATATCTCCAGCACTCCTACCTAGTTTTTAAAGAAAACTTCAAATTCAAAGAAAATTGAATATTCAGAATATGGGACTATTTTGCTGTACAAATAATAATTGGAACATTTTGATTTTACTGTTGGATTAAACTTTACCTGTTTTGTATTTTCAAACTCGAGAAGATATCAAATAGAGATAGAGCTGTTGGTAGTATGTGTGTTATTTTGCTTATTCACTCAGAGTTTTAGATGTGGTCTCTATGTTTAGTCCTGTAACAGCTTGGTTTTAATCCTAGTAGTAGGGAGGCTGAAGCAAGAGAATATGGTAAATTTCATGCCAGCCTCGGTTATGTTATGAGTTCCAAGCTGACCGTGACTACACAGTGTGATTCTCGAGAACATTAATAAGAGAAACATTCTTTATATGTTGCTCTATCACATATTGCCCTACCTTCTGCAAGGTACATAGTTTAGATAAGAAGGAGAAAGACATCATTAGTTCCTGTGGTTTGATATAGAACAAATTGAGGGGTCTTCTGAATATTCAGTTAATGAATACAACACAGAAAAGACCTCTGCTGGCTCCACTCTTCCTGAGAATTTCTGGTTTACATGTCTAATTAAACTTAAGAAAATATCAGTTATTGAATATTTTACTCATGCAGTATTCCGTTTTATCTCTGATTGTTCTAATTTTCCAGAGAACCATTTCATGTGCAATAGATATGAGAAGATCTCAGATCAAGACATAAAGCGTATTCTCCATGAACATGTGAATATCCAAGAGAAATCTTATAAATGTAATGTGTTTGGCCAAGTTATTCATGAATCGTCCCAGTGTATACATTACAACACAAGTGATACTACAGAAAACTGCCTTCAGGAAAGATTTGGTAACCACAGAGATGCCTATACTGAATCATTAATCCTAAACAGACACCAAAGTGGTAACAGGAGAGAACCTTGCAAATATAAAGATTGTATAAACAGTTTAAATATGTGTTCCATCACTAGTCAACATAAAAGAATCCACACAGCAAAGAAAGAACACAGAAACACAAAAGAAACCAATAGTGGAAGGAAATCTCACCAATGCAGGAAATGTGGGAAATGCTTCAAGTTGATCTCAAGCCTAAGTAGACATAAGAGATCTCATACAGAGAAACTCTACAAATGTACTGAATGTGACAAGTCCTTTGCCCTTGGCTCATCTTTTAAAAATCATCAGAGAATACATACGGGAGAGAAACCTTACAAATGTATTGAATGTGAGAAATCATTTATGAATACCAAATATCTTAAAATACATCAGAGAATACATACTGGAGAGAAACCCTACAAATGTAGTGAATGTGACAAATCTTTTACCCAGAAATGCCATCTTAGAAGTCATCAGAAAATTCATACAGGCGAGAAACCTTTCAAATGTTGTGAATGTGACAAATCCTTTGCTGACAAAGGCCATCTTAGACGGCATCAGAGAATACATACAGGCAAGAAATCTTACAAGTAGGGTGAATGTGACGACAGATCCTTTATCATTTCCTCATCTCTTAGAAAACATCAGAGAACTCAAACAGGAAAGAAACTGTACAAATGGAGTGAACGTGACAAATCCTATAGCAGTGGCTCAACTCTAGAGCAAAAAAGAAGCAAGTGTTCCCAAGATGCAAAAGCAAAGGTTTCTTTATTCAAGCCGGCAGGGATCTCACCCGATAGAGAGGAAGTTTGACCCCAGTCAACAATTCAAGGAAGCTTTTAAAGGGAAAGACTGTAAGGATGAAAGCCACAGATTACAAAGTTTCCATGGCTACTCAAGGTCATTACACAAAGTATAAAATAAAGCAATAGCCATATATGTAAAGATACATTTAAGCAAGATGGGCTGGGGCATGGGTGGCAAGGGCATGGGGTCATGAGTTTGCCAATTATGCCATCGACTGGGGGGACTTTTACAACTGGCAATTAGTGGTTATCTGGTTTTGTTTAGAATAAAGGAATGTTGACACAGATGGTGGCAAGCAAACTCCCTCTCTCTGAGAGCTGAGCACAGGCTCCTAGTCATGTACTCCCGTTAGGAGGACAATAAGCAGTCTAGTATGGGCACTACTCCCAAATAAGCCTATCCTAATAAAACACACGTGAGGATATCAACGAAGCATGACTCAAAATGCCACAGTCATGTACTTATGTGAGAAACTCAATGATACTAACCAAATAACTCAAAGAATGGTTATAAGAATGTATGTTAAAGAGAGCACCAGTGACTTCCTGAGGGAATGCAACAAAATCACCCCTACTTGCATAGAATAGTGGATGGTCAAAACAAGCCTGAATAATAAAAGAACTGTCGGGTCTATCACTATCCATGTTTTCAAGTTGCTTTACAAAGCTATTGCAATAAAAACAGCATGGTCCTGGCCAAAAAAGCAGGCACATTGATCAATGGAATAGTTATTGAGCTAAAAGTCAAGTAAAACATGAAAGATAGCTTGGGCTCCCTGTTCCATGGTTTTTTAGCCATTGACATCCCAGCAGACCGAAAAGTCTGGCGGCGGGGGTGGAGGGGGTGGGGGGGGAGTCTGGAGGAGCCAAAATCAAGCAGGAGCCTGTCTGTTGCCACTGGTGATGGACAATCATGCACCATGACACCATGGGAGAAAGGTTAAACCAACATCTCCATGCCATCTCTTATGGCTGGGTTTGGGTCTATGGCTCCAGTTACCACCAAGGTCTCTGTGGACCCTACTGCAACCAGGGCCAGGCTAATCCGAAGGACCTGTTCAGGAGGAGGGGCCATGGTGGCATCTGGGCTCAAACTGCTTCCAAGGGCCGTGTCTGAGTCTGTGGTTCTGCTGCAGTTGGAGTCACCTTTTAACTCATATTCACAATAGTCATCTTCAAGTCAAACTGTACAACTTTTGGGAAGAATTTGAGAAACTTTACAGAGATGTCTTTGTGAACGTGACAGCACCTGCTTGCACATGCACAGCCAAGAGTTTTTCAATTGTATGCTAAAAAATCATATTTCATTAGTCAAGATAATAGTAGCCACCTTCAAAGTACTAGGATAGACTGATACTAGAAATATTAAGACACAAGATTTCAAGACATTAGATAGGCTGGTGCCTTATAGTGAGCAAAACTATAATAATGCATGACTTTGACTTTTCAGTCAAAGAGATTACTTAAATTGGAGTAAATATGAAAATATTCTTTGGAAATATTTATTGTAATTCCAGTATTGGAGTTTGCTGATATGTAAAATGAAAGGCTTTGATATGGAATAAGCTGGTGTTGTGTTCTTTCCAAATAATTCTATATTAACTTTTATCCGTTGTTGCCACATCAGAGCTGATGAACCTAAGACAGGGTACAGGTAGTAATGGATTGGTCTCTAATCATCTGGGAACTCCAGCCATCTTGAGAGAGTTCTTATTTGCTTCATGGATAAAGACCTCTATGCTTGATGATGATGATGATTGTATGTGTATGGATGCTTTGCCTCCATGTGTTTTTGGTATTCATGGAGGGCAGAAGAGATTGTCATATTCTCTGAGGCTGGAATTACAGATGGTTTGATCTTCCATGTTGGTGCTGGGAATCAAACCTGGATCCTCTGGGACAGCGGCCAGTACTCTTAACAGACAATACATCACTACATCCCATGATTTCTCTTTTTTGAGACAAATTCTCTCTCTAGCCCTGACAGTCCTAGAATTTACTATGTAAAGTAGTCTGACCTTAAACACAGAGAGTTATACGTGTCTCTGCCTCCTTAGTAATGTGCTACCATGACTATCTCCTGCTTGATGCTTTTAGGTAATTACTCCAATTCATCAAACAGTTCTGGTGCCAAGGAGAAATTTGTCATTTTGACACAAGGAAACAGCAAGCCTGCTTGTTATCCCTTACCAAAAATTTTTGTCCTCACTTGGGAACCATTTACATATACATATTTCTTATCACTTTTGGAGTATCCTGAGGATATTTCCAATTCAGGAGGTTCTCTTCCTTTTTAATTCTCCCAAATTTTCTTGACTGAAGTGGTCAAATTCTCAGTTATGGGGAGTTATTTTTCACTTTCTGCTGGACTGGATTCCCTGGTCACAATAACGTATAGCTACAAGCTACAATCTAATCACTGTTAGAAATGTGTCATTAGTGTCACTTGATTAGTGTATGACTAATGATCCAAACAAAATTCATTTCTGTAGCACTCATGCCAGAGAGCTTTGATTCTGTGTAGAAGTAGAAATGCACGTAATTGTTAAACAGGTGTGCTTGGAAATATTTTTGTGATAAAAGTAAATAAAAGAGCAATTCTAAATATTAGAAAAGAATGGTTTTACAAAAATGTTGAAAAAAACCTGAGAATTTATGGATTTAGTGATGTCTATGTTTAAGTGGTAGGGATGGCTGAATGTGTTTCATATAATTTATATGGCAAGAGGAAATACAGATAACAGAAAAGTCCAAATTTGTCATGGAAAAGTTATAGTCATGTCTCACAGTGCTACCTGTAAGTACTGACATTCCACCTTGTTCTGTGGAAATGAACAGTGGTGTCTACCTTTTTTATATCATTGACAAACAGTATTTGTATGAATCTTTCATCTTCATGTTTCACTGAATCTCAAATGACAAGTTTTAAAACTTTGTATAAGTGGATTTCACTCTAATAAATAAAACAGATTATTTAATATTTTTAGATAAAAATTCTATAGATATATTATGAAATCCTGAAAATTTATAACTTATTTCTGCACATGAGACACAAAGGTGAATTCAATACCTATGTTGCGCCATTTGGTAAAACAATGCAATGATTTTCCTCAAAAACTTTCTCCAGAGCACCTACATCTTCTAGGATTTACAAGATATTGTTATAATATTTTTAGAAGATTTCAAATGTTCTGACAATATAACAATAATTGCATAGCAATTACATTGGAATATAGGCTCATTGTCAGTGAAAGTTTATTTATGAATCTTGAATCAGTATTTTCATTGCTTCAAACCCCTGTATGATCCAGGGATAAATTTAGATGTGAGACATCTTTTAGGAGTAATGATGGTATCTTGCCTTTATCTTTAAAATGGATCATGAAATAGAGAAATACAAAGGTAAATTCACAAAGGTACTGGATCAACTTTTTATTTTCTTTGAGGAAGTAGTTAAACATCTACAGAGGAAGATAGTTTGGTCTCAATGTTCTAGGATTTTAGCCCCAAATCGGATGTCTCATTGACATGGAATACTGAGGGACAGAATGTAGGGTTTTTAGAGATTGCAAAAGGCAGAATGGAAAGGTACTACAAAATTGTGTATCAGTGATGCACGTTATCCAAACCTTGCTGGAACGGTGAATGAAACTGAGCTCATGGTTAGACAATGTCTGGGAATCATTCATTTCACTACACAAAAATGTAATCCTTTCTTAGAGAACAAAAACCAAACACCTCAAAATAACCACAAAAGACTGCCTTTCCCTACACTCTATGGAATGCCTTTTCTAATGTTCCACATGTTGTACTGTGGCTTTAGTTCAGGTTGAATATATACCTGGTATCCAGGTGTTCTAACCCAGTCACGGCCCAGAATTCACATATCTCAACCACTCAGCCTCTCCTTTTGAAGATTTGTGGTTTTGCCTCACCTGTTAAACACAGAGAACCAGTACATGGTGAAATTCCAGGTCTGATGTGGGATTTCCATGATCAGCTCAGGAATGTTCGGAAATGGTTTCATGCAGTCGAGCCGTGATTAGGAATGATAGTTTACAGAGAACTTCATTTATTTTCCCCAGAGTTGAGTAAAAGTCTTCAGTTAATTTTTTTTCACTTGGTAGTTTCATTTTTAAGTGACATCATGAAATTCATTAATTTTGTAGGATAGCACTTTTCAGTCCTGGCTTATCTATGACACATTGGAGAATGCCAACATTACCATTTGGAATATTTCTCTGAGGATTTTTTCCACCCCATCCTTAGGGTTATAACTATGGCAATGAAACAATATGAAAATACCTCATATTCTAAGAGACTGGGACTTTTGCTTTACCTCACAGCCAAAGTTAGTAATATACCTTGATGTAACCTAAGACTTAAAGACTTCTAACCTCCTGTGTGCTCAGCTTCTTTGCTTAACATGCTTTTAACTGACCAATCTAGAAGACCTTACTTGTCTTGGACTTTCCATATAACGAGCTTTAACAACCTAAGGTAATGCATAGTTGTAATCTTGTTCTTTTCTATGCCCTTGACCCAGATAAAGCATGTGTATCATTTGATGAAGGCATCAAATACAGAGGTTAAAAGTAACGATCTAAAATGAATATTCCTTTACGGATATTGGTTGATAGACAGTGATGTTTGTAATACCATACTTTTTCTGGACAGCTGGGATCAGTGGGAGCCAGTGACTTAATCCAGTGCAAAACTCTGTTAAGGATTTCTTTATAAAATATCCCACTGCTTCTTTATGTCTTGCTACCTGTGATATTCATTAAAGACAGAGCAAAACACTTTGCTATGAACAAGATGCATACATACAGAGCACCCCCTCCCCACACATACACACAGCATAGCACACAGATACACAGGGGCAGATTAACAAGACAGTCTTCAGCCAGGTACAAATTCAAACTCATGCAGTAGGCATACAGAGGAGGAAAACACAGGAAGAATGAAATCGAGAATTTAAATGTAGACTCACTTTTAGGTAAAGGACTCCAAAGGAACATTCTTTCATTTGTATCCTTGATTCAACTCGGATGCATTATTAGTGACTCCAGGGCTAATCACTAATCCGTTTGACTCATGCACATATGCAGAATCTATACAGCTGGTGATATCCTATTATTTTCGTGTGCAGAGAAACAATAAAATTTACCAGTATGTGAAACAATCAGACATGTCATCTGAAAGATGCCCATGCACTAAGTAACCTCTGCCTTGAGGACAGGCCCCTCATTCTGAATTTGTTGTTCTGAGTTTGCACCTCCCCATACTGCTGGGATGGGTTTTCCCCTGATCCAATCATGATATCACAGCTTGAACCTCAGAACATTCCAAAGAAATCTGGTCCCCATTATGGTCATGACGAATTGATTTCTTAGCTAAAATCTCTAAAGGGACTTGGGTAATTCTGGAGTCTCTTTTCCCCAGCCTATGCAGATGGGCATGGGTGTGCCCTGAGAATGGTAGAGACCAATCAGGAGCCCATCCAGGAAGAAACTGCTAAACAATGTAGTATAAATGATATTTCTATTTATAGTCTTTTTTTTTTGAGAAAAATTTAGAATGTTTTCGAAAGTGACTTCTTTAGTTTACACACTCCCCCAGGCACAGTATAACAGTGTCACTTTTGTCACATTCATGTCAGATTTTGTTATTTATCCTGGTGATGGCCATTCTGACTTTGATGGTATGGAGTCTTAAAGGAGACTTAGCCTGCATGGCCTTGACTTCTATGTATACAGTGCTATTTGTCAATATGACTGAGAAGTACCAAAGCTAACTGTACAACCTAATCAGTAGAGACGAGTGTATAAGCATACCTGATGCCTACTGACTTTAAAGACATCCAGGCAATTATTGTAAACTCTAAAAGAGATGGGCAAACACTGTGATTAATACCACACACCAAATTACACCAGCGTGAAATAAGTGGATAATTAAGCAGGATAAACAGTGAAGCAGCAATTAATGCACCCCACTCAAGAAAAAGGACCAATAATGACCCAGCAGCAGATTGATCCATCACAGAATTCTGTTAAAACTTCATAGAATACCTGATACTGAAGCTACTTAAAGTATTTCTTGGTGTAACAATGAATCGAGGCTCCCAGACTCTTTAGGAAGCTTTTTGAGTTGATACCAAATGAGATAAAGACACAAAAATGAAATTACATTGTTGTGGTCTCTTTACTTTTAATTACTATTTTCCAGTTCATAGGAAACACCTCTTGAAGTGCACACTCTCACCCTCTACTCCCTACAATCCTGCTCCATAGTTCCAATTAATCTTTTTCTCTCTCTCATATTTATTTCTGTTCATTTTGTGTTTGACTCTCCAAGATTAACCAGGGCCATCTGTGAGACTGTGGGTTTGTGGTCATGTGTTGAAGCCTGGTAGGCTCAGCAGAGGAGACACAACTAAACACAGGGGATCCCCTTTCTCCTTACGTTTATCCACAGCCACAATTAAGAGGTAGAGGGCGGGACTCTGTGAGCCTCTCCCCTTCCTAGACTGATTGCGGCTAAGTGAGTCCAGTGCATGTGAGTACAGTTGTTCTGGGTTACTGATTACTGTAGTTGTGTGGAGTCTGAAAAATGGCACATCATGGCCATTTCCCCCTCTGGCTTTGTTTAGTTCCTTATCACCTCCTCTTCCTCATTGTTCTCAGAGCCAAGATGATGTCATCTTCAGGGCTGTGTCCATATATGTTGCTTATTTTGTGCATATTGGACAGCCACAGGTTTCTGAATTCACCACTGAGTTTTCGAATAGAACTTTCTACACTTTATATAAAAGCGCTTTTAGTGTGCCTTCTCGAAGTCAAACCTACTTCTGTATTCTTCCTCCTTCATTGTCTTCAGTGTTATAGTTTAGGATCTTGAATGTGGATACTGGTTAGGCAGAGAGATCCCATTGTACATTAGATGAGCATTTTCTTTCTTTCGTTCTTTTTTTTTTATTTTTGGTTTTTTGAGACAGGGTTTCTCTGTATTGTTTTGGAGGCTGTCATGGAACTCACTTGGAAGACCAGGCTGGTCTCGAACTCACAGAGATCCACCTGCCTCTGCCTCCTGAGTGCTGGGATTAAAGGCGTGAGCCACCAATGCCCAGCTCATCAGGTGGTTTCTGCTGCGCCTCCTCGACAGCTGTGCTTTGACATTGCCTTGAACATTTACTACACAGGCATTCCATTTAAAGACACTTGTGAGTTGAATTGTAATATTCTACATATAAATGCATTCACATGGATTGCAAGTGATCATTAGTCTCACACAGTGGTTTCCATACAACTTAGAACACAAGCCCACATTGGGAAGAGGAGGAAGTTGAAAAGGCACACTTTTTTCCTCTTCCTTTTTTTAAATTTAAGTTAGAAACAAGCTTGTTTCACACGTCAATCCCAGCTCCCTCTCCCTCCCCTCCTCCTCGCCCTCCCCACCATGACCCCAAGTCCCCCACCCAATCTCCACTCTGATCCCTCCTTGGGAGGAATCTCCAGAGTCTGTCATTTCATCCAGAGTAGGGCCTATGCCCTCCCACAAGAGTCCAGGCTGAGAGAGCATTCCTCATTGTGAGATGGGGGAAAGGTACACTTTACCTCAGTGAACAATGTATGGTCTGCCTAGACAGTGATGAGAATATTGTAGCTAGATCTGATGGCAAGTCTGTTGCATTGAGAAAAACATGATGTTTGGCAGATAGAGCCATTGCATGATGTGTCTGTTCTCCAAAACATTATGGTACACATAATGGTACTGTATCTGCCAGATAGAATGAAATGAAATGTGATCAAAGAGTCAGGAACTATATTTTAGGTATTTCCTGCCACCTAAAAATGCTGACAGTAATATGCAATGACAGAGAATGTTAGAGCCCTTTAATACCCTTTCTCAGGAAGTGATTATCTGGGATTTGGACCATGTCTTTTTATATTGGGGCTGATTTTCTAGTTATCTGGAGAACCAACAGTCCTCCCCTGCCCTGGATGAATATGGAAGCCCTCCTTTTCCTGAGTCTGTCCCTAAAAACTGCACACTTGATTCCATATGGAGTACAGAGTGCTGATTTTTTCCTTTATGAGACTCTCTTGTCTCAAGGCTGCATCATGGATTTTGGCCTCTTCCTTCTATAAACCTCATTCCTGTAGGGTCACTATTGTCATCTGCCCTTAGTGATGCAACCTCAGCCAATAATTGCCTCTTCCTAACTCCATTTAGAGCCCTTCCTATCTCAAGGTCCTCTGTGAAGATAGTTTGGACTTTATGCATTGACACGGAGCAGTTCTTTTGTGTGGTGCATATATTATCTACTTGTGTAAAGGCAACATGCTGAGTGTTTTACTATCTCAGATACTATTAGTTCTCTTGAACTTTTCTGGTCTCTGTTGCTTTGTATTCCACGAGGTCTCTTTGTCATTTTTCCTGTTTGGTTTCTGTGTTTCTGGAACCACTTTCTGACACTCTTTGCTTATTTCTGTGGTATAAGACATTTAATCATGCTTTTCTCTGGTACTATCAGAATTTCAAGTTTTCCCGGAGAGTGTTTGAAATAATGTTGTTAAATTCTAACTTTAATCTTGGTGGTCTGATAAGATACATGGAGTTATTCCAACTTTTTTGTACCTGTTGAGGTTTGATATGTTGCCAAGTATGGGGTTGAAATAATTGGCATTGATTTTTGTATAGGAAGAGACAGATGGGTCTTATGACACTCTTCTGCACATGGACAATTGTTTCCCTAGCACTGAATGTTCAAAGGGTATCTGATGCTGCAACAACAAATGGCACACTTACTGAAAGTATAAGTAAGTGGGCCTGGCTAGTGATGTAGTTCCCTGACTACGTCTGTATACGTCTTTAGTCATGCCTAAAGTGGGTGTGGTTAGCGGTGCGGTAAACTGCCCTTTTATTACCTCATCTGTATGCGCCTCTAGTAAGTCACATGGATAATGGCAGAGCACTATTTTCTCCTACAGGTATCTAACTTTCTGGGTTTGTCTTTGACATATTTGGCTTACATTACCTTTCTGGTATATGTTTATTTCTGGGTTCTCCGTGTCGTGCAAAGTACTACATGGATCTTCATGTGCAGGATCACTCTGTCCTTGTACTCATGCTTACATGTTGTGATGTGTGGTCAGGTCCTGTGACATCCTAGGATTACTCTCTCTTAGGATGAATTTTGATAGTTTTGATTTTCTTGTGTCCACCTTACTCTTTCCATTTCCATGTTTGTGGAAAATAACAGTATTTTGCTTCTATGGTTTGCATTGATTCTGCTGGTTGCTGTTAATATAACCATTTACATTATGCTGTTTGTCAGTCAGTGTGCATGGAAATCTTTTCTTTGTGTTTATGGAGCAGTTTTTTTTGTTCTGAGTGCCTTAAAAGTTTCCTCATAGAAGTTAATTCGTTATTACTTAGCATCATTCCTAAGTCTTCTGGGAAGCAATTTGATAGGGTTAAATTTCTAACTTCTCAAATTGTCATTATTGGACACATAGAGGAAGTAGTAACCCGTGTGTTTCTTTTTGTATTTTTCAATAATACTTAAAGGACTTATCAAGTCTAAGATTTCCCCACGGTATCTGTGTTGCATTGTGTATATGACCCCATAATCACATAATAATTTTAATGGAGCTTGAAATTTGGCTTTCCTCCTTTGTTCTTTGTATCCTTTGTCTTATTCAGATATGTCTAGCAAACGCTTATGAGTCTTGATTCAGTAAGGAAGAGAACACAAGCATCTTCCTCACCTTGTAAGTTTTCTGGCCTTGCTGTTCATTTTTTCTCTGTACTTGGCCTAGATGTGACATACATGCGCTTTACTGCGTTCATCCATGCTCTATTTCTTCCGAGTTCCTTTCGGAATTTATCTCCAGATTTTGTTGAATTTTGTGTTATGATGTTTAAATTTTTCGGAGATTTTCATATCACAGGGCCTCTTTTTATTATGTTTTCTTTCTTTTATTATTCTGGGTGGTTAATTATTGGTAGTATTTTTCCCTCCACATTGAAATAGCAGGTTGCTGTGTTTTTGTGTTGGACACGGTTGCTACTCCTCCACTCTATTCTATTTGTCTATTCTTTAGATATGTCTTTTTCCCATGTTCTTGTTGATAGTTTCTCCAAGTTTTCTATGTATATTTTGTCTTTAATTATGATCTGTAGTGCTGCTTGACTGCTTGACCTGTGTTATTTCATAACTTTATTCAGGTGAACTTCCTTCTCCATGAACTTTAAGAGTCTATGCTTCTGGATGCAATGTTAATGTTCATAGTTATTTTTGTTTTTCACTTAAAATATATTCTTCCATGCCTTCCTGCCTGTATGGATGTTGACAAGACCTTTAATATCACTCTGTGTTTTGGGTCTTTTTATATAGTTTGTTGTTGTTTGTAAGAAACTGTACTAATTTTAGCTTCGTTTTCTTTTTCTTTGGAACCTTTTTGTGAGATGCCAAGAAGAGTTCTGTGTCTGTTCCTGAGAAAGAAATTCAGAGAAGAGCAATAGGAAGAATGGAAGATTCTCCTGTAAATGCACCCCAGGTGAGTGTTGTATCTATATTCCTTTGAAAGTTGTTTTATTATTGAAATACTATTAGCCTTATTTCCCTTCTTCTGATGATGTAATCTGTCTTAGGGTTTCTATTGCTGTGAAGATACACTATGGTCACAGAAACTGTTATAAAAAAGTGTTTCATTGGGCCTAGCTTACAGGTTCAGAGAGAAAGAGAGAGAGAGAGGGAGGGAGGGAGGGAGAGAGAGAGAGGGAGGGAAAGAGGGAGGGAGAGAGAGCCTGGCTTGAGCTTCGGAAAACCTCAAAGTCTACCCCTAGTGATACACTTCCTCCAACAATGCCATACCTCCTAGTAGTTCCTCTTCCCTGAGAGCAAGCCTTCAAATCTACGAGCCTATGGGGGCCATTCCTGTTCAGATCACCATATCATCTAAAGTGTTTATGTCCTATAATTTTTTTTGCTTTTCTTTTCTGACTGTTACAATTAAGTCTTTAAATCTTTCACCTACATAGCACATGCTTTTCCCATTTCTGTGAGGACAGATATTTTTCATGGAGTTCAGACCTGAAACTTTGAAAGAGATTCTTTGTAAATGTCGATCAAAGAAATGTATCAATGTCCTTCTCCTTCAGATGATGAACTTGTGTGCTTGTATATTTTGGGAACCGGTCTTTGTGGGGGCTTTAGTCAGATCCAGTCAACTTGCTGGGTTCATAACTGAGAGGGGCATTGAGGATTGAGAAAGGGCAGGTAAAGACACTAAGAAAGAGACAGAAACAGAGCCGGGCGTTGGTGGCGCACGCCTTTAACCCAGCACTCGGGAGGCAGAGGCAGGCGGAGCTCTGTAAGTTCGAGACCAGCCTGGACTACCAAGTGAGTTCCAGGACAGCCTCCAAAGCCACAGAGAAACCCTGTCTCAAAAACCAAAAAAAAAAAAAAAGAGACAGAAACAAAGCATAGAGTCAGGAGGGCAGTCCAGTGAATACTGAATGCCCCAAGTTTATTCTTCAACTTTCTAAAGTACCTCAGTCAAAAGGGGGACCTGACAGAAGACCTCTATTATCATGTATAAGGAGCAAACAGACTTTCTTCCTTTAATCCTGCAAGTATTGGTAACCACACCTGTTATCCAGCCTTGAGGGTCAAGAGAAAGAACACACCTCAGTCCAAGTCTGTTGCTATTTAGATAAAACATTTGCTACCAAGAACAAAATATCTTATAGTAGCCAAGCCTTACAGGTTTAGGTCTTTTGTATTTAACCTTGGAAGACTAAGGACAGACTTGAACTTTCCAACCTTATGTCAAGAAGAAGAAGAGCTATCTTCATGGGCCCCAAAATTTTATTAATGAGGAAAGTAGGTCTTCTGTGCCACATAGATTGCGTTTTAGGGATTGTTGGTTTCCTAGAACCAGGCTTATGCAAATGACCATACAGGTACATGACATGTTAGCTGCTATCACTGAGCAGTTTATGGAAATATAGAATTAGAACAGAATCACTGTCTTGAGTCCTAGTACTAAATATTTCATCACTCTAGAGAACTCAGATAATGGAAGGAATATGCGCCTTCTTCTTGCCATAAAACTGATTTTTTTGAAGAGATGCAAATTTCAATATACTGAAATCTCTTTTGTATTTGCTGTCAGACAACAATGGTGGATATGTTGACACCTGAAATTTATTTGTCACAGGAGAGATCCTGCTCATATCATTCTCTTGATAACATTGCTTGGCATGAAGCTCTCAATTGACAGAGCAGTATTTTCTCTTTGTCTTTTATTTTTCAGGCAGGGTGTAAGCATTACTGGCACTATCTCTGTATTGTGTCATGTGGAATATATCAATAAGACTGTTCTAGAGAGCATTGACTTGGTGCTTTTCAGAAGCCATCAATTTTCAACTATAAACAAATATCCTTTCTAAGGACCTTACTTTGCTTTCTTTTAGAGGAGGAAGACTCCCTCAACCTATGCTTTTTCTTTCTTGAAGTTATACATTACATATGTAGAGACTTTGAAAAATGGTTACAATTTACTGGTGTCTATTTCTTTTAAAATATTTTTATTTAAATATGAAGTGTTCAACTCATATTTTATATGATATTCATGCTTAGGGGATGCCTGTAGAGCCCAAAAGTCAGTACTGAAACTTTGGCACTGGAGTGTGGTACTGTCTTGAGCTGCCATATGTATAGATGTGTATAGAGAGAATGAAGTTGGGTTTCTCTGTAGAAACAGCAAATATTCTTTGCTTGTGGGCCACCTTTGCAGTCCTCACATTAATGTTAGTGGTACATATACATATGCTTAATTTTTTAGTTTTGAAGAAAATGAATGAGGGAAAACAAGTGCTTTTTATTTATGCACCCCAATATCTTGTTAGACACTTGAGCTCCAATACTGAAGAAGAGATTTGAAATTTGAAGATTCATATTTTCAGATGAGCCAATCTAATGAGCAATAATATATTCAAAATTAGTACTGTATAATTGTCACACACTTGATGCATTAATTTCAAGCACAGACAGTATGTATTGTCACATAGGACATTTATTTGTAAATGATATTCTCATTATGTTATAGTGAAACCACATATGGAATTTCTGAAGTCATTATTCATCTGTTATTGGTTGTTTCTACTTTAAAAAAATTTAGATATCATTAGTGATGCCTAACGATTTTTCTATTTACTTCATGGTTGATACAATATTTTCATAAAATAACCTCACAAAATAGTTGATTTTTATATTTCTTTGGAACATTGGTGTCTGCAATGAAGTCATACTCCTTACTGTTAGAAATAACATGTACAAAAACTTCATTGACTTTTAATTCTTTCATGATTATTGCATTCCATATTCTAATTCTTGTTCTGAAAGGTAGTAACACCGTACCTAGCACTCAAAACCTTAACTGAGAATGTTAGAGTAGAGTCAGATGAGGCCCAGCTGCAGATAGCATTGATACAGTATCCACATCTGAGCAAGGTTGACAGTTGTAGAATTTTGACAGTTTTGCTCATCATAACTTTTCCTTCTGGGATATGACTCTGTGATCCTGTGTGATTTCAAGATAGCCTTCATAAAGGTACATTCCTGATCTAGACCTTAAGTGTGTATGTTATGCTCCTTACAAATTGCTGACTAAGATACTATTACATAATCCATTTTCACAGAGATAGTAAATACAATATAGAGCATGACTGTTCTAGAAAGTACCTTTTAAAAATTAATTTTCATATTTATGTTATGTGTGTGTGTATATTTGGGTGAGTGAATATATGTGTGAATGGTATTTGCGCCTCCTGTCTAAGGAGTTTAGAAGAGAGTATTGGATCCCATGGAACTGAATAGTGTCATCTGGGTGCTCATACAAAAGTATGGTTCTCTGAAAGAGCAGCCAGCACTCTTAGCTGCTGAACCATCTCTGCAGCCTCTTTAGAAAACTTGTCTACAGCCTTTTGGTGGTGGTGGCATAGTCCTTCAATCTCAGCACACAGGAAGTAGAGGTAGGCAGAAATATGAGTACAAAGCAAGCCTGGTCTACAGAGCAAGTTCCAGGACAGTCAGGACTACACAGAGAAATCTTGTCTCAAAAACCACACACACAAAAAGAAAAAGACAACTTGTGTTTGAATAATATTCATAGTCATCTGTATGCTAAAAAGTCTCTAATTTCTAAGGTATCTTTTACCCAATGAAGCATTTTATCCAGCAGTTCATAGCAAATGTGTGATTTTCCATTAACAGGGTCTGTTGACATTCTGGGATGTGGCTGAGCTCTTCTCCAGGACAGCTTTGTACATGGATGTGATGTTGGAGAACTACAGGAAGATAATCTTTGTAGGCAAGAATATTCTTCTTACAGGATTCCTGACTCGTCCTTTATATTTACCCGCTTTGTACATTTGTAAACTCCCGGAGTTGTTAGAGAATCCTGGAAACAAGGGGGATTCTGGAAATAAACATATTTTTTTCATGGCGCTTCCTTTACATTTTCCATGTTCTCTGCTAGAATAACTAATGCTATATACTACCTGATCTCTCTAGCCCTTTTATCTAGTTTTTAATAAAAATGTCAAAGTTCAAAGAAAATTGAATATTGAATATTGGACATTGAATATTCAGAGCTCGGAAGTGCATTGCAGTATACTTGGTGATTGGAATGTTTTGGTTTTACTATTGGATTTAACTATTCTATTATTTTTTTTGGAGGCTGTCCTGGAACAAACTCTGTAGACCAGGCCGGCCTCCAACTCACAGAGATCTGCCTGCCTCTGCCTCCCAAGTGCTGGGATTAAAGGTGTGCACCACCAATGCCAGAATTTCTATTAATTTTTTTTAAAGGAGAAGTTTTAAATTAGAGAAAGACCGGTTGGTAGTGAGCATGTTGCTGGGTTTGTTTATTTAGTTTTGAGGTGTAGGTTCTATGTTAATCTTAGAACAGTATGCTTTTCATCATCACACTAGGGAGGCTGAAACAAGAGGACCTGATGAGTTCCATGCCGGCCTGAGTTACATACTGAGTTCCTAACTGATGAAGGCTACATATTGTGACCATGTCTTAAAGGCATAAACAACAGGAAAATAGAGGGTCTACCTTCATATGATCCTTCAGAGCTCCTTTCTCCAAGTTCATTATTGCTTGGTCACTTACCTGACCTTCTGCAAGGTGGGCAGTTTAGATAAGAATGTGAAGGTCATTATTTTTTCTTCACAGTTTGCTTGGAGGCTCATCTGAGCTTCTGTTTAATTATAGTGAAAAGCAGAAGACCTCTGCTGAGAACTCTTTTTCAAAAAATTGCTAGTTTACATTGCTTAAGGAAGCATCAGGTATTGAATATGTTACTCTTGCATCAATCCCTATAATCCTTGTTGTGCTGATTTTCTAGAGAATTATCACATGTATGTTAATTTGAGCCTGGGTCATGGCTCAAAGCATCAGTTTCATCAGCATGTGAATATACACAAGAAATCACGTAAATGTAATGACCTTGGCAAAATGATTCATGAATCCTTCCAGCGCTCACTAACAAGTACAGATTTGGAAACTTGACCAGAAATAAATGCAGAAGCACTGGAGAAGAACCTTTCAAACACAAGGACTGTGTAAACAGTTTAAAATTATGTTCCATCATTAGTTAAAACCTACAAATGTACACTGAAAATGAGGAACACAGAAATACAGAGAACGATAAATCTTTTGCATCTAAATATAAACTCACACTGAAAGGAATTCACAGTCAAAAGAAACCACAGCAGCACCAGAAATGGAGAAAATGCCTCAAGACATATTCAAACCTCAGTAAACATATAGGATCTCAGAGGTGTAACCTTATAAATGTACAGAAAGTACTAAGTACTTTTTGCATTTGTCTCAACTCAAAATACTTAACAACATTATGGAGAAAAACCATATAGATGTACGGAATGTGGAAAGTGTTTTTGTGATTCATCAGATTTTAAGAGACATTACAGAATCACACTAGAGGGGAAATTTACAAATCGTTCATTTGCTGTTTAAGTCTTAGAAAACATCAGAAAATTAACAGAGGAGAAATTATGAATATAAACAATGTACTACATCCTTCTATACATTGTCATACTTTGTGTACCATTATAGAACCTATAGTGGAGAGAAGCATGATAGATTTTTACACGACCTCAGATGTTAAAACAAATCAGAGAATGCACCCAGCAAAGAAACCTAACAGACCTATTAAATGTGGCAAGTGCTTTGCCCAGCAGATGTACCTAAGAGTCCATCAGAATGTTCATACAGGAGAGAAAAATTACAAATCTAGTGGATATGATTAATCCCTCTTCCAGAAGCCCCATCTTAGGAAGCATCAGACAATTCATACAGGCGAGAAGATTTATAAATATAAGAACTTTTTTTTCTGTTAGTTCACATCATAGGAGCCATCAGAAAATCCACTCAGGAGAGAGATCTCACAAATGCAACGAATGTGACAAATATTTTGCCACGGGCTCATATCTTAGAGGACATCAAATACTTCTTAGTGGAGAGAAGCCTTACAATTGTATTGAATGTGAGAAATCCTTTATCAATCTTTCACATCTTGGACGGCATCAGAACATTCACACACAAATTCACTTACAAATGTAGTGAGTGTCGCAAGGGTTTTATCCGTAAACATTGTCTTAGGAGACTTCAGTAAAATAGTAGAGGGGAGAGGCCTTATAAATGTAATGAATGTGAGAAAAATTTTTCAATTAGTTCAGATCTTAGGAAACACCAGAAAATTCATGCAGATGAGGAACGTTATAAATGCAGTGAATGTGACAAGCCTTTTACCACTGACTTGTATCTAAGAGTACATCAGATGGTTCATACTGGAGAGAAACCTTACAGATGTAGTGAAAGTGAGAAGTCTTTTGCCAGTGTCTCATATTTTAGGGTACATCAGAAAATTCACAGACGTGAGAAACCTTCCAAATGTACTACATGTGGCAAAGTCTTTACTCACCACTCATGTCTAAGAAAATATCAGAAAAGTCATACTGTGGAGGGAAAAGTCCATGGTAAATAATGTTGCATATGCTTTATTCAAGCTCTGTCCTTAGGGACCATTGCAAATTCCACAGTAGAAAATGGAACATAAGAAACTTGTGAAAGTCTTTATGTATGTTCAAATTAAATACCAAAGGCTCATAGTGTGGGAAAATTCTGAAAATGTGACAATGTAGAAAACCATTTTTAAAACGGTATACTTCTTCACCATCAAATATTTCATGAGGAGTACAAAATGGAGAAGCATGAGGAATGCTATTGGGTAGCTATTTCCTGGACACTGAAACATTCCATCCTGAAGAGAAGCTGATTAAGACTGGAAATAAAGCACCAAATAGCCTCAAGTAGTTCCTGAATCTGACAGGATTCACTGTGTTTAACTCTCATGAAAAAACTCACACCAATCTTAGTGGCTAGATGAGGCTTTAATAAACTGAGCTGGGAAGATAGGATATCATTTAGCCTGGGGGATTGTAGTGGGTACCAGTTATGCAGCGTTCTTAAGCTATATCTCATACTTGGTTGGAGTTTAATGATGACAATTATCTTTGGGTTTCTTTTACTCCTGAAAGCAGCTCCTTCCCCATAATCCTGTATGTAATCCCAGTAAAGCTCATTGGTTCAACAAGATGGATTCCAGTGGCATCCATATTTTTATGTTGCAAATTCCAATTTTGGGTGGTTAGATGCACATGATTTTGCATCTACCCAGGAGCATTGCTGACTCTATTTTTTTCTCCCAACTGCGTGTACACCAGAAAATTGATATTAAAAAAAGAATGTGAGTCAACTAAATTAGGGAGTTTGTGTTCAATGCTTCAGTTTACTTCCATGGCAGTACCTGGTCCCTTTACAAGGGCTCAACACAGAATGTGTCGGCTTAGGGAGCCTCAGAGAGGAGGCTGCTTTCTTGGTTGCATTCAGGGAGGAGAGAGAGCACTGTATGCAGGGGGACAAATGAAAATATGTATACAAACCCATCAGTGAGAGACGTTCCAAAATAGATTGCCTATGCATGCCTCTGAAGAATTCTTAGTCCTCATGATTCAGTCATTCACCAGTGAACATTAGAACACTCTTGCTTGTTGTATACTGTGTCATACCTTAGAAGTTCTACTTTATAAGACTCTCCAAATCACTGAATTTCAACCCTTTTTGTTAATCCTTTAAACAATGCTAATATTTCAGTCATATCAGAAGATTCATAACAAAATAAAACCAGGAAAATGTTTTATGTGTGAGTCCATCCATATAAATTCCAAGAAACCATTAAACTTTAAAGAGATAACCGAAAAACAAGAGAATGTGTACAATGTCCATTTACAGCTTAGAAATCTCCAACAGGACTTGAAGATGATTTTGAAGTACTGAGAAAATTTTCCATCTCCAAGCATTGTATCAGAATTCTGATACTAAAAACAGTGAAACTCATAAATATTAGACTTTGGCTAAGTGATGTGTTACAATGAATGAAACCACATCATTACATGCCGGTGAAGCAAAAACATACATGTAGAGACATATTCATGTTTGTAACAATAAAATATATAATGGAAAATTTACTAAAATCCAAAACAATATCCTTTTATTTTAACTTCTTTTTTACTCTTCAGAGGGCTGCAGTCCATCACTGCATGTATATGAAGGAGGTATTTTACTACTGAGAAATGCACCCTGTGGGTAGTGGTTTCATAAATTTCTTAAGAATTCATCATGGAAATTTTGACCTGTTTTTCTAGTGGAAGATAAGTGTCCAACTCAGAAAGTTACTCCCTACTAGATCAGAAGTCACACTGGCCACTAGAAATGCAGTCCACAAAGCTTAGATGACAAAGGGCACACAGAAACCAAGGAATCAAATACCCGTCAAACAAGGACAATCTGAGAAACCAGGACCTAGACTTTTAAGCATTCCAAAACCAGATGCCTAAATGTCAGTGTAAGGACCAAATCAACAACAGTCAAGGCACAGCTATCCTGAGTGAGCAAGATCTGAATATTTCAGTGCAGTCGAAGCAGTAGAAACAAGACTGAAAAGATAATAGAGGTACTTAAAGAGGAAATGAAAACTTTCCTTAAGTAATTGAGGAATATATGAACAAAAATGGATAAAATCAATGAATTCCTTAATGAATGACAAGAAATACAAGAAAAAAACCAAACAGGTGAAGAAAAGTATTCAAGATTGGTAAATTGAAATAACAGCAAAATGGAAACAAACGATGAGGGAATTATGGAAATGGAAAATTTGAGTGAGTGAGCAGAAAGTATATTCACAAGTATTGTCCATAGATTTCAAGATATAGAAGAGAGAATCTCATGTGTTGAAGGTAGAGTAGACAAAAGACTTTCATCAGTTAAAGAAAAAGGTTAAATGTAAGAAACTTCTCAAATACAACATCAAGGATATATGGGATTCTAGTAAAAGACAAAAATAGGAGCAGGAA